TCCTGCTGAGGAAGTGAAGGCACAGAGAGGTTCGGCATCCTGCCCAAGGTCACACAGCTAGGAAGCAGAGGAGTGTGATTTGAATGCAGCCGGGCTGGCTCCGGGTTGTGAGCCGGGAAAGGGTGTCTCATGGTGGGAGCTGCCAGGCAGGGAGAGGCTGGTGTCCGTCTGCAGGGGAGAGTAATGGAGCCACACTGGGTACGGTGGGAGACCATGGGAGGGTTTAAAACGAGGGAGTGAAAGGATCAGGTCTGAGTTCTAGAGAGTTGGTTTGGTTACTATGTAAAGGACTCAGAGTTGGGGGTGAGAGTGAGAGTGAGGCTAAGAGAAGAGGCTGGCCACCATTTGGGAGGTAGAGGCTCCTACGAGGGGGGACAGGAAGCAGGGACCCTCTGTAGAGGAGGATGCGATTTGTACATAAAAGGAAAAAAGCACCTGGGGGACAATGAGGTGGGGTCCATGAGTCCCGCTGTCTCTGAAGCCACTCCTATGGACCCAGAGAGGCTGGGATGGGACCTCACACAGCTTGGGATGTAGGTGGGTGTTTGCCAGAGCGGCCAGCGCAGGAGCTCCTGGGATTGGCTCGGTGGGAGGGGCTTCCTCCAGGGGAGGGTCTGCTGATGTAAAGGTATGTTTGTTTGTTGTTTGTCTGTAGCCGGCGGGACCTGGAGATTGAGCGGCCGATGCCCGGAACCCACACGGTCACCCTGCAGTGAGTTGCCCTTCTGTCCTGCACCGTCTCTTTAGCTGTGCTCACCGTTGCCGGCAGCGCCTTAGTTCTGAGTTTGGCAGGACTGCCCCCCTTGTGCTAGGACAGCCCAGTCAGCGAGACCTGCGTGGATTCTGCCCAGGGATTGGGCACGGCCCAGCCTCACTCGTCTTCTCCTTGTGCAGGAATTTGGTTTGTAGGGTGTCCCTGAGAGCTGTGAGGGGAGCCTTGGACCTCAAACAAGGAATGCTAATAACCACAACTGGACAGAATTTATGAAGCACCTACTCTGTGCCCAGTACTGCGTGAGGCTTTGCTTCAAAGAGCCTGGAGATGAATAAGACATAGGACCCACCCTGAAGTGCCCTATAAAGCTAGAAGGAAAAGACAGTCGTGGGTACAGCCCTCTGGATTCCAACAGTAACAACTATGTCTTTTTATAGTTCCTTAAGTGAACCATATTATTTGACACCTGAACTTTGCACATGCCATTTTCTTTGTCAGGCATGTCGTTTTCATCTCTGCTTTTGACTGCTGGCAAAGTCCTACTCATCCTTCCTTGCGGAGAGGGTGCTTGAAAATAAAACATCAGGGCATAGAAATTCTCTGGCTGAAATTCATACTAAGGTGTAAATGACTACTAACCCGTTTTTTTCCTAAGAATAAAGCAGAGGATAGAGAATGAAGGTAGTAAAAAGAGCCAAAGGTACTGGGCAAAACAAAGTAAATTTTTTTTTTTTTTTTTTAGAATTCTGGCCCCAGCCTGGCAGGGCTAGGAGCATGAGACTCTCTCAGTGAAACTTGTGTTAACTCCCCCTTGTCTCCGTGCCCCCAGGTGTCCTGCTTTGTTGGTGGTTGGGGACAGTTCTCCTGCTGTGGACGCTGTGGTATGTAGAAATCAACCACTGGTTTCTGTGCTTAACTCAACGGTCCAATTCTGGTTACCTTGGTATGAAGTCTCCCTGCCCACCCTCTTCCCCTCTGCTTCTCCCGTCAGGGCAAGTGACATCTTCTAGATGCCATATTGGCCTTTGGACAGAGGGTCCAGCCACCAACCTCCTTCCCTGGTGACTGCCAGCCCTAGTTGCTTGGCAGTGGGGCCTCTGTCTCCTCTCCCAGGCCCCCTCACCTGCTGGTCTGCCTCCCATTGGCTTGTTTATATGGGCGTGTTTCCACTTGGCTTCCTGGCCAGGAGACTGTCTGCGTGTTTGGGAATCAGGTGGAGCTTTCAGAGCTGGTTGGAGCCTGATCCATCTGGTGGGGCAGCCAGGCATCTGGGGAGTGGGGCTTAGGAAAGGTTTTCTGGCTCATTTCACCCCTTAATTCCCACCTGTGATGTGGTGGAGGCAAAACAGGACTCCATCTTTCCAACACCCCCATAGCCGAGGACATGGGAGACTTGGGGGCTAGTGGGCAGAGTCCTAGAGTAGTGACATGCCTTGTGCAGTAGGCTAGAGCAGGGTCAGCAAATGTTCATTTAGTAAAGACCTGGGGTATCCAAATGAACCATGAATTACTTGCAGTCTAGTCCACTGGACATAATCATAAGATGCATCAATAAAGATATATTCTTTATATTAAGGGAGGCATTTTGAACATCACACGTTACGGGGGGGGGGTATTTTGCCCACTTCTAGATGCACTTTTAAGAGGGTCATTGACAAACTGAAGAAAGAAACCATCTTGGTGGATATGATTTCATTTGAAGAATGGTTGTTGGGACTGGGGTTGTTGAATCTAGAGAATTACTGGCAGCAGCTGGTTAAACAAGCCCATTCATTTAGTAGCTGTTTCTGGAGCACCTTCTACATTTTAGCTAATCTTCACAACAGCCCTTTGAAAAAGATGTTATCCCCATTTTATTGATGAGGAAACTGAGGCTCAAAGAAGTTAAGTAACTTGTCCAAGGTCACATAGCTAGTGATGGTAGGGCTGGAATTTAAAGCCACATCTGTTGAATCCCAAAGCCCACATTCTTTCTTCCATGACAGTAGGAATACTGGAGCTCCTGGTGATGGTGGCAGGGTGGCGGGGAGAGGGGGAAAATTTATGACTTTGGCTCCAGGCAGACAATTTTCAAATTTCTTCTCGCTCTTCTTGTCTAGGTGGAGTGCAACTCGAAACTGGACCCAACGAAGACCACTCTTCTCAAGGTGCAGGGAAGATGATGGAGGGTTACATTTGTTCTCTCAGAAATCCCTAAGTTTCCTGCAAAATTGAGTTGTGCCTGATTATGGCAAAGCTGGTGGTCAGAAATCACAGAAGTGGTGAATTAATGTGTCTGTTCACGAACATCTATTGGGCGCTGGCTGGTAACCCAAGGCTGCAAAGATGAGGGGGTCCCTCTCTGGCACCCCCGGAGTCTACGGGCTGTCGGCCACGGTGCTCTGAAGGGGGATGGGTAGGGATTGTGCGGGCGGGGCCTGATTCTAGACAGACTGTCCCGCCGCACCAGCCCGCAGTGGGTGGTGAGTGGGCCCCTGGAGTTCTGTCGCTGCATTCCCGTCGGGCTGAAGGCTGCCCCAAGTTAGCTGACCTTGAGGCTAGCCCTTGGGATTTACTCTTGAGACTCTGGGCTATAGGCTGGCCACAGCCCCACTCAGTCTCACCGAGACCTTCCAGTCCTGTTTCCCCATCCTCACCTCGCTGCCCAAGTGCTCCAGAGCCCTGGGCTTTGGATAAATATTCACACATGCCTGGAATGGCTTTAAGCAGTGATGGTGGCTTTGGGTTTGGTGATTTACTAGCAACTCTGGAAATCATAGCATTTACTAAGGGTGGCCAACCAGGAGCCCCATCAGGCCTGAAGCCTTGAATCCTGCAGTTTCCTTCTGAGGGGTCTTTAAAGAGATTGTGTGTCCAGGGCCTTGAGCATGAATGCTTTCTGGTCAGACAGACCCTGGCCAGAACTTTGCAGGTTCCTCAAGTTCTCTCTGGCCCAGTTTCTGCCTCTAAAGTAGGACAGTTGTCCCTTCCAGGGTTTTGGGGGAGCAGAGAAATCATCTCCGGGGCCTAGCACAGCGCCTGGCCTGTTGTAAGCTGCAAGTAATGGTTGCCAAGAAGGCAGAGTTTAACGCCAAGACGGATAGTAATCAAAGCAGGCGTGCCAGGTGGGGTGGGTGTTTCTCCACCTGTAACATGTCCAGGCCCCGCTCAGCAAGGCAGGCCCGGGGCAGGGCAGCGGGCAGAGTGGATGCCCGTTTGGAGCTGGTCCACAGAGCCGGCATCCCCTCCACTTGAGGCCTTTGGCACTAACCAGCTTTCTTTCTCCCAGATGGCGGATTGTGGCGGCCTCCCACAGATCTCCCAGGTGAGTTACACCTGTCCCCGCTCCCCAGGTGGAGGGCCTGTGCCTCTGTGACCTGTTAACCCCCCTTCCCCTCACTGCCTGCTGGCCGCCCACCTTGCTACTACATCTGATGACACATTTGGACCTGCTACCGTTTATAAAAGGTGCTTGCACGTCAGGACTTCCTTGGTCCTCCCCCAGAAGCCCCTGTGGAGTAGTTGATGCTGGCGTTCAGTGGGGTGAAGGGATTTGCCAAGTGGACACAGCTTGGCAGTTGTGCACCAGAATCTAGGTGTGCCTGACCCCAAAGACCTCAGGCTTCCTCTGGAGCCACAGGCTCCTGGAGCCCAGGGGCAAAGCAGGGAGCGCAGAGAGGAGATGGACCGAAGGGTGTGTTTCTGTGTTTGTGTGTGTGTGCATGCACATGTGTATATGTGTGTATGTGAGTATGTATATGTATACATGTATGCATATGTGTGTATGCACTTATAAACATATCAATCATTGTAGTGTGTTTGCTGCACAATAACTGTCCCCTCCAAGTCTCCACCCATAAATACCACCCCCCAACCTAACAAGTGAATGAATTTTTTGTCTCTTCTTATAATTTTCTATCATTACAGTTTTGCACTCTATCTTACTATGAAATATTTTGTGCATTTGGGGTTGTCTTTTCCACCAAACTGTCCCCTGACCTTCTTTCTCCCTCCAGTCCTGAAAGGGACTTCAGAGCTTCGGTAATCCAGCGATTTCTCAATCGGATGTGTGCCTTTTTCTTGCTCTAGGTGCCCCCCCCCCCACCAGTCCTGACAAGTGCCCCTGAGCTCCCTGGGAGCCTCCCTTGCAGAGCGAGCAGGCACTAGTGGCCTCGGGTGGCTCTCTCTTAACTTCTGTTTCCATTGTCTCTCTCTGCTCCCACTGGCAGAGGACAAAATATTTTCAACTTTTCATCTGCTGTTGTGTTTTGCCCAGTTGACAGCTGGAGTAGCCAGAGAAGGATGGGATGTCTCAGTTTCTAGAGGGAACAGATGGGTTTCCAGTAGAGCCCTGCTTAGATGTAAACAGGAATTAATACCTGCACACTAGTGACCACCCAGCCCGCTTGACACTGCTACTGAGACAGTGCAGCTTAAGTTGGCTGCAGAGAAGGGGTGCCATTTTTCTTTCCACCTATAATTCCTTCCTTCCTTTATTCCTTTCTCTACTTGAAATGAGAAAAATCTAACTCTATCCTTAGTTAAAACACGTTTTATATGTCACGGCAGGAGCTGAGCTAGCCCAGGCTTCCAGGAGAGCAGCCCAATGAGGACCAGTAACTGTGTAATCCCTCCTCCTCCTGCCCTTGCAAGTTGGGTGTGTTTTTACAAAGGGCGTTCCCATCCTTCATTCCATTCAATCCTTGCAACAGTCTTTAGAGGAAGGAAGAGCATGCATTCTATCACAGTCACAGAAGGGAAACTGACGCTAACAGATGGGAGAGATTGCCCTTGGTCACCCAGGGGAGCCGAGTTTGGGCCCAGATATTCTCCTTTCCAAGCCTGTCCTCTTGTTTCTGTCCGCCATGTTGAACACAGATGTCCCTGCAATTCTCGTCCCCTTCTTAACAATCATCATGTGATCCCCAGAGGCCAATTGCAGCACAGGCTCTTCTTTAAATGTCGTTTGGCTCTTTGAGAACAGTGGCAGGAGCTGGTGGAGGTGGGCAGGGACACTCCCTCCCCGATGACCGCTCACCAGTGAAATGAGAGGGTGTGAGAATAGACCCAGGACATTGCATTTAAGAGTTGGAATTAGGGCTTCCCTGGTGGCACAGTGGTTGAGAGTCCGCC